CCTATACCCTAATGCCAGGTGGCAGGAACAGTGAGCGAGCAGAGTCAATAGGATTCTACAGAGGGAAAGGGAGAGACACAATTCTGCCGGAGAAAAGGTGCTCACTGGTCTGTGTCAGCTCAGTGGCAGCCACCCATATGTGAAATCTGGAGAAAGTGCAACTGAAATCTAGGCACCACCTTGCACTGGCAGAAATTAGCCACCTGGCGCAAAAGTCCCTTTTCCAGAGACATTTAGCTTTTCCGTGTGAGACCTGCCTGCCTTCTTCCCTGTGCCTGTTCAGCTTGTGCCATCAGCAGGATATCATGGCAATATCCTGCCATGGCAGATGCCCCGATTGTTCATTCCTGCTGTTCAAGCCCACAGTGGGAGCTGAGAGAACCCATCAGCCCTGACAGCTGCCCATACCTGGCCTTGGGCAGTCCCCACTACCTGGAAGTGTTGCTGTAGGTCTCACCTTGAATCCAAAGAAGGGAAGTGCTCACACTGCCCTCAGATGGCACTTGGGATCCAGCAGCTATCATCCCTCCCTGAGGGCTACCTGGGGAGATGGAAGGTCCTGCCCATCCTCCAGAGCCCTCCAAGGAGAACTTTGGTAGGGTGCCTCACTCCCAAAGCCTTGCCTTCCCCCTACAATGCCTGCCTCTCACAGCAGTATGGGAGCCGGAAGATGACAGATTACCACCACTACCCCATGGCTCCCAGTATAGAAGCTCAGAGATGATAGATTCCCACCCCTACTCCATGGCTCCCAGGATGAGAACTGGGAGATGACAGAGTCCCACCAATACCCCATGGCTCCCTGATGGAAGCTGGGAGATGACAGAGTCCCACTACTACCCCATGGCTCCTGGATGGAAACTGGGAGATAACAGAGTCCCACCACTACCCCATGGCTCCCGGATGGAAACTGGGAGATGACAGAGTCCCACCACTACCCCATGGCTCCCGGATGGAAGCTGGGAGATTAGATAGAGTCCCACCACTACCCCATGACTGTGAAGAAACAGATTTCTGGGCTTCACTCCAGGAGGAGGCGTCTACCTTTTTAATACGCATTCATGTGCTTTTTGATGCATGGTTTGGGACCACTATTTACTCGATGTAGGAGTCCACCTGAGTGTCCTTAAGAAGCTCAAGAAAAGCTGTTCAGCCTCTTCTTGTTTACTTTCTCTGAGAAGGAGCTCACTGCCACCCTTAAAAAGTCCATCCTCCTGGCAGCCCTTCCTTCAAAAGTGCCTTACATTGAGAGGGAGTCTGCCTCCCTGAAACTCCCGAAAGCTTGTGGAATGAGTTTAACCTCACTTCCTGGTAGCTCTTATTTTCAAATGCTTTCCCACCTTCAAGTTCCATCCCCCAACCTCTGTTTCCATTGCTCATAAGTTAGACTCTTCTAGGAAGGTTCTGACCAGCTCCGAATGGAGTGGGACAGGGAGCTCACTCCAGTCTCTGGTTATTCTGGAGTAATAGCTACCATAGCCCCCACTATGTTCTGGGAACATTATAATAGCTCTAATCCTCCCAACAGCCCTATGAGGTGGGTCTTCCTGGTGTCCCCATATTTACAGAGGAGGAAACTAAGACTCAGAAAGGTTAAGTCACTTGCCCTGGGCCTTCCAGCTGGTCAGTGATAAAGCCGTGATTCAAGCCCAGGACTTGCTGGCTCCTTCCAGATCAGATTGGTAGAGCAGGCTGCAGGCTTTTGCACTAGAGTCCATCCGTCTCTCTCTGTCTCTCTGTACATTTACATACTCTGGCTATTTTCATCCCCCAGTCATGCCTCCCACAGAGGCAATTATTGGCAGTCAACAAATTAGCCCAAATTCTAGAAGCGCCCACACCCTCTGGGGGAGCTCATTTAGCCTGCTTCACTGCTCACCACCAGGACAGTCAAGAGTAACTCAGGTACAAGCACATTCCTGTCCCCGTAATGGACTTCATTAACATAAATGGATATGAAATCTGATGTGGCACAGCCAAGTGCTGTCTCCTGGAAAGGAAGGTCTGACTGCAGAAAGGTGGCTCTTCCGCACTACTGGTGCTGTGCACACATAACTACCAACATGAGACAGTGTGGTCCCAAGGGCCTTTCTCTCCCAAGGGGTCTTGGACTGGATAGGATGTGCTGAGTAGGATTTAACCACTGTCGGAGAGCAGGCACCGTGGATAAAGCCCTCCTGAATTCCACTTCTCACCTTCATAGCCCCAAAGGTTGCAAACCCAGCCTCTTCCTGCTCCAGCTGGGACAGCCTCTGCTCCATGGTGACTGCCCTGATCTGTATTGGCCCAGCACTGCCCTGTGTAGGGCAGGAATATGTATGGTTTATGTTGTCAGACAGACCTCATTCATGTCCTGGCTCTGCCACTTAAGGACCAGGTGGCCATCAGCAAGTCACCAAACCTCTCTGAGATTCAGGTTTCTTATCTGTTATACTGAGATAATACGTCAGTGATGAGGGCTGGAGATAATGTATGTAATGGGTCTGACTCAAAGGAACTGAAAAAGGTTAACAGTAGTTATTGCTTTTTGTAATTATTTTCATTAAAACCCTTAAATGCCTATTAGGGCATGGGGTTATTCAGAAGCCCAAGCCTCTCACATGAAATGATTCCAGGGTATCAGATAAAATAACATATTACTAGACTGGGCCATTTGAAGCTACTATAGTTGACCTTTTTTGATTACCTTATATACTTACTGTTTTTTAAACGGCCAGAATATTTAAGTATTCTGAATACTTAATTAGCAACACTTAGCACTAAACGGTTTTCAAGAATGCAATACATTGTTACGAATTACAGTCATCATGTCTTACACAATAGAGCTCTTGAACTTATTCCTCCTGACTGAAATGTTACATCCTTCGATCAGCACCGCCCCCACCATTCTACTCTCTACTACCAGTTTAACTTTATTACATTCCACGTGTAAGTGAGATAATCAAGTGTTTGTCTGTCTGCCCTGGCCTGTTTCACTTAACAAGTGTCCTCTGGGTTCATACATGATGCAAGTGACAGGCTTTCTTTCTTCTTTAAGGCTGAATTATATTCCATTGTGTATACCACATTTTTCTTTCTTCGTGTGTATGTGTGTGTGTGTATTTTTGTTTTTAAGAGGCAGGGTCTCACTCTGTTGTCAGGCTAAAGTGCAGTGGCACAATTATAGCTCACTGCAGCCTCAATCTCCTGGACTCAAACGATCCTCCCACCTCAGCCGCCTGAGTAGCTAGGACTACAAGAATGTGCCATCACAGCCAGCTAATTTTTGTACTTTTTGTAGAGATAGAGTTTTACCATGTTGCCCAGGCTGGACTCAAACCCCAGGGCTCAAACAGTCTGCCCAACTCATCCTCCCAAAGTGCTTGGATTACAGGCCTGAGCCACCGTGCCCAGCCTATACTAGATCATACTTTGTTTTCTTTCTTTCTTTCTTTCTTATTTATTTATTTATTTATTTATTATTTATTTATTTATTTTGAGGCACAGTCCAGGCTGGAGTGCAATGCTGCCGTCTCTGCTCACTGCAACCTCTGCCTCCCAGGTTCAAGTAGTGCTCTTGCCTCTGCCTCCCAGGTAGCTGAGATTATAGGCCTGTTCCACCAGGCCCAGCTAATTTTTGTAGTTTTAGTAGAGATGGGGTTTCACTATGTTGCCACGCCTAGTCTCAAACTCCGGGCCTCAAGTGATCCATCTCCCTTGGCCTCCCTAAGTGCTGGGATGATAGGCATGAGCCACCATGCCTGGCTATCCCACATTTTCTTTATTCATTCATCTGCTGATGGACACTTAGGTTGATTCCACATCTTGGCTATTTGAATAATTCTACAATGAACACAGTAATGTAGATAATCTCTTCAACATACTGATGTCATTTCCTTTGGATATATACCAAACGGTAGGATTGATGGATTTGACTATTTTTGACGTATTAACAAGGCAATTTACCTAAAGCTAACAAATGAGCTGCTGTCACTTAACCCCATCTTTAAAAGAACCCTCCCTAGGCCAGGCACAATGGCTCACACCTATAATCCCAGCACTTTGGGAGGCCGAGGCCAGTGGATCACTTGAGGTCAAGAGTTCAAGACTGGCCTGGCCAACATGGCAAAACCCCATCTCTACTAAAAGTACAAAAATTAGCTGGGCATGGTGATGCATGCCTGCAGTCTTAGCTACTCAGGAGGCTGAGACAGGAAAATCACTTGAACCCCGGAGGCCAAGGTTGTCATGAGCTGAGATTGTGCCACTGCAGCAGTGAGCTGACATGTGCCACCACACTCCAGCCTGGGTGACTGAGTTAGACTCTGTCTCAAAAAAAAAAAAAAAAGTCAAGAATTTAAGACTAGCTTGGCCAACATGGTGAAACCACGTCTTTACTAAAAATACAAAATTAGCTGGGCATGGTGGCACAGGCCTATAATCTCAGTTATTCGGGAGGCTGAGACATGAGCATTGCTTGAACCTGGGAGGCAGAGGTTGCAATGAGCCACCAAGATCATGCCACTACTTTCCAGCCTGAGTGACAGAGTGAGACTCTGTCTCAAAAAAAAACCCCCTTCCCCAAAAGAACCTCTCAAAAAGGATCCCTAAAGCAGCAAGCAGTGAAGATGTGTTGAGAGTGGGGTGGGGTAGGAGTCAGCCAGACAGTGGTTCTGGGGTGAGACTGTCTGGGCACCAGGCCGAGCAGTCAATGGAGAGACGATGGATCAGGCTCTGCCACACCCTGCCCGGGGCACCAGGGCAAGGCCATGTCACCACCCCTGGGTTGGAGCCTACAGGCCATTGGGCAGCTCTCCCTTCCTGCCTCCTTGAAAGGTTTCCTCCCTGCATCAGAACCAGGCTGGGTGCAGTTGGCCTCTTGGGAAACATGAAGACTCACCTGGTGTCCATCTCTTGGCAGGTCAGGAACATCCGCAAGGTCCTCAGGAAGATTGAAAAGCCCTTTGGCCTCTACCCCAACTTCCTCAGCCCAGTGAGTGGGAACTGGGTGCAACGTGAGTACAGCAACGCCGCTGCCTCTCCTTCGGCAGGGTCCTGCCCAGGCTTCCTAGGAAGACCCTGCCAGGCCCCCGGGCTGAGTGAGGATGTGTTTGTTAGAGCCACACAGCCAGCAAGGCATCAGCTCAGTGCTCCTGGACACTACCTGCCTTCACACACATCCTGGGGGCTTGCCCGTGGTTGTCTGCTGCTGTTGTGCTGGATATGATGGCTGCTGTTTACTGAAGGCCTGCCCTGCGCGCTCCTCACCCTTCCTTCTCCCGCCCTGTCGGTGTCCTGCCCTTTCGCAGACTTCCATCTCTTACACTGCTTCGGGAGCCTCCTGCATTATACCCCAGACTCTTGGGAAGGTCCCAGGTGGAGTTGTCCATTCTAGAAGTGGCTCCAAGAGAAGCCAGGCATCCTTTCCCAGCCCCTTTGATCAGGCTCCCTACTTCCAACTTTAATTTTTTTTTGTTTTTTTAGATGGAGTCGCTCTGTCACCCAAAGTGCAGTAGTGCAGTTGTGGCTCATTGCAACCTCTGCCTCCCAGGTTCAAGAGATTCTCCCGCCTCAGCCTCTCGAGTAGCTGGGATTATAGGCGTGTGCCACCATGCCTAGCTAATTTTTTGTATTTTTAGTAGAGGCGGAGCTTCACCCTATTGGCCAGGCTGGTCTTGAACTCCGGACCTCAAATGATCCAACCACTTCAGTCTCCCAAAGTGCTGGCGTTGTAGGCTTGAGCCACCACTCCCAGCCCCAACTTTAAAAAAAAAAAAAAAACTATACAGCAATGTAGAAATAAATCACTAATTCACAAATACAACCATGGCTCATGCCTGTAATACAAGTGCTTTGGGAGGCTGAGACAGGCAAATCACAAGGTCAGGAGTTCAAGACCAGCCTGGCCAACATAATGAAACCCTGTATCTACTAAAAATACAAAAATTAGCTGGGCATGGTGGCACAGGCCTATAATCTCAGCTATTCGGGAGGCTGAGGCAGGAGAATTGCTTGAACCCAGGAGGTGGAGGTTGCAGTGAGCCGAGATCGCACTATTGCACTCCAGCCTAAGAGACAGAGGGAGAATCCGTCTCAAAAAAATAAAAAAAAAAAAAAAGCCGGGCGCAGTGGCTCATGCCTATAATCCCAGCATTTTGGGAGGCGGAGGTCAAGAGATCAAGACTATCCTGGTCAACAAGGTGAAACCCCGTCTCTACTAAAAATACAAAAATTAGCTGGGCATGGTGGTGTGCACCTGTAGTCCCAGCTACTCAGGAGGCTGAGGCAGGAGAATTGCTTGAAACCAGGAGGCAGAGGTTGCGGTGAGCCGAGATCGCGCCATTGCACTCCAACCTGGGTAACAACGGCGAAACTCCGTCTCAAAAAAAACAAAAAACCATGAATTCACCTGTGCATCTTAGACCTACAAGAATCAGTCCTGGAGTTTTCAGTTGTTCTCTGTTTGGAGACTTGTTTCTTAGCCGGATAATAACCAGTCACCCATGGAACATCATTCACAAGCCACCAGCCCCACCCATTGCAACAGAAATGGGTTTGGGGGTCACTTAGGTGTGAGAGTGTGGACAGGTCCCCCAGGCCTTTGGAATGTGTATGCCTATTGAGAAGCCCAGTTCTGGGAAGCAGAGGCAGGCCCTGGTCATGTGGCCATGGTCAGCCAGAATTGGTGGTGACAGATTCCATGGGGCCTCCCAAGACCTGCCACAGCCCCCACCTCCAGTGCTATGTGCAAACAAGGACCCTTTCCCTTTCCCTTTCCCCTGCCTTCAACCCAACTGTCGTGACATCAGCAAGGGCTCAGAGGCAGAGCACATATGAGTCTAATGACTGCATGGTTTAGGGGGGAATTCACTGTATCTCTTTGAACCTTGGTTTCCTGTCCTGCAAAATGAGAGAAGAGAGTGAGATGCAATCTTTGTGTGCCGTGGAGGGGCGTAGGAAGAATGGTCAAAGGCTGCAGGAAACACATTTCACTTCCATCCTCCAAAGATGATGCGGGTTGTCCCAAAAGGGAGCGATGCAAGCGGGGCCTAGAGAGGAGGCATTGGGGGCACTGTGGCCAAGCAGCTAAGGCCTTTCCCTCTAACCTGAGCCTCCTCCAGAAAACCCCACCCAGCAATCTCCCCAGTGATCACCTCACCCCAAGTGGCCTCCTGTAAAAACCACTTACAGAAATGCGAAGTATTTTTAACCAAAACACACCGCCAAATCCAAGAGTACAGGGCAGGCGGCGGGTGTGGGGGGAGGTGGGGAATGAAGGCTTGAATTGCAGATTATGGGCACGGGAAGAGGCAGTTCGATAACAGTTACTGGCTTTAATTCCAAGACCTGACTGGGTAAGGAGATAAACCCCTCTGCTGGGCCGAGCTGCTCCAGGGCAAGGCAGCAGAACCCATGAAAAGGGCTGAGAGGAGTGTGGGCTTCCAGCTAAACCGTTACCTTGGCAAATTACGAGGGAGTCCCTGCTGGGAAGCATAATTTTCTTCTCTGGCTGTGCCAGGGGCTGCAGGTCTGGGCAACGTCAGTCACATATGGGAAATTGTTTCCTATTAATAAAATACGAGCCCTCAGCCTGCTAAAGAGCAGAGGGGGTTCTAACGCCCGACTGGCCCAAATGTCTGCCTTCTTCCTCCCCTGGCCTTGGTGCCTGGGGTCATCCCAGGTTTGCTGTGGTTTTTTGGGAGGGTTTTTTTTGGTGCACATGTATTTTTTTATCACATGATAGCGTTACCACCTTGCATAAGCTTCAGGACATGCACACACACTCCCAGACACACACACACTTTCTCTTCTTGAATCTTCAGAACAAGCCTGAAGGAAGGACAGGCAGGGACTGTGTAGCCCATTTGCAACCAGAGAAATTGCAGCCTAGAGAGGCGGAGGAGGAATTAGGACTGTGTCTCAGCTACCCAGGCCTCTGCTTTCACCGGCTTCCCACTCCTCCTGGAAACCAAGCTTCCAGGGCAACAGGGGAGCCTCAAGATCATCCTGCTGACTTCACACCCAGGATAAATTCACCAGGCTCCTGATGGCACCCAACACAGATGAGAACACCCTAAGGCTGACCCGCTGAGAGCTGTGGGAGGGGGGGTCACCAGCCCCTCAGTGCAGCGCCTGAGTAACTTGTCCTCCTTGTCCACTGCCCTGAATCCTTTTGTTCTGTGGGAGGGAAATGGTAAGTCCAGACCTCCCTGGCGGGTACAGGAGCGTGAGCTGCAGCCTGGCAGCTTCCCCAGCATCAAGTCGGCTGATTTCCAGGCTTGTGGCTCAGCCTCCTGCTGCCAGGTGTGACGAGCACATTGGCACAGTTGGGAAGCAGCAGAGCCCAACTCTGCTTTGGGGCTACAGACACCAGCTTGTGCCCACTTCATGCACTACAGACGGGAGACTGAAGCCCAGAGTGGGCAGGGGCACGCCCTGAGCTAATGCAGAGCCATGTCTTCTCCTATGCCTGTGCTTCTTCCAGCCCCTCTCTCAGTGTTGGGAAAGACCACACTCACACACACACAAAACTACACACACATCTACCACCCACACTCCCTCCCACACACACTACACACTCCCCCCACACACAGACACACACCCACACTACCCTCACACACAAAACACACACCTACCACCCACACTCCCTCCCACACACACACACTACATACTCCCCCCTTAGACACAGACCCACACTCCCCTCACACACACACAAAACACACATTATACATATTCTCACTACACACACTCCCCTCACATACACACTACACAATCCCCTCACACATCCAAACTCCTTATACTCTACATACACATTACACACTTCCCCTACACACATTCCCCACACTCCCCTCACATATACACACTATACTCCACGCACATACCCACACACTACACATACTCTTCACACACTACACACCTACACTCCCCTTACACTGCACACACCTCACACACATTACACACACTTCCCCCAAGTACACCCACACGCACTACATACGCTCCCCTCACACTATACACTCCCTCACACACATCCATACTCCCCTTACACATGCTCTACACACACATTACACACTCCCACACACACTAGTCCCTCACACATCCATACTTTCCTTACACACTACACACACACACTGCACGCTTCCCTCACACACACTACACAGTCCCTCACACACATCCATACTCCCCTTACACACATACACACTGCACACTCCCCTCACACATACACTACATGCTCCTCTCACACTACACACCACACACACACCCTGACACACACACCCATACCCTTCAGTGTGCGTGCACACACACCACACACATTCACCACACATACACACCCCCGCCACACAAACAGTAAAGTAGTGGCACCTTCACATGTTAGGTGTCCATACGAGTGCCCCCAAGAGGCAGTCACATCTCCACACTCTGGACTCTAATGACCTGGTTCCCTCCCCTGCACGCCATCCCAAGGAAGCCTTGTCATGCACACACTCCGCCACCACATGATTGTGTCTGAACTCCTTGGCTTGGCATTTGAGGCCCTTCCCGGCACGGCTCAAGCCTCCCTGCCCAGCTCAAGCCTCCCTGCCCAGCATAGCTCAAGCCTCCCTGGGCATCCCTGTGTGCCTCATAGTTAACAGGCACAGAGCAGGAATTGCATGCTGTCCCTCCCCACAAAGAGCCCACGCGCTAGTGAGGGAGGCAGACCCATACGCAGGTACTCACCACACACCCGGCAGGCACCTGATGGCCAGGCGAGCCCACCACCCAAGGGGCACACTGCCGTGAGGGCTTCAGATGGCTACTGGCCTTGTTTCACTAAATCCCCCTGCCACCCTATGGGCAGAGACCCTGAGCAGGCTTGTGAGAACGCCTGAGCCCCCACATAGGGAACAAAGTGGGGAGGGCGTGCGACACAGGTGACAGTGCCCATAGCTGCCGTGCCTTTGACAGGGCTGGAGAAGGTCTCTGAGCAGAGGCCTGGAAGCCAGTTTGACTTCCAGCCTCCCCTGGCCCCTCCTCTGCAACAGACCTGCCCCTCCTCAACATCTGGCTCAGCCCTCCCCTTCTGTAGGGCACCTAGGAAGGAGAGAGGTGCCACATCTCTCTTCCCTCCACACCAGAGTACGGCCCAGCCCACCCGGCCCCTTCCAGCTCCTCCCCAAAGCGCGTGCTTCATCTTATATGGTCCAATTTTTGCGATGCTGGTCGGTTCTGGAACCCTTGTTGGGCCAGGACTTATTTATGGACCAGGGCTGGAGGGGCCAGAAGGGCAGTGTACCGTGTGGCTGGCCTCCTCTCGACCCCGATTCCTGGGTCCCATCTGCCTTCGCCATGTCTTTTGGTCCCTTGGTCCTCACACTTGTCTGTCTGCCTCTGCCAGTCTCTGTCTTACTCTTGGATTGACTGTGTGCAGCTGTGGAAAGGAGGCTCTGCCCTTCACCAGCTCGATGGCCTTGGACGAGCCGCTTAGGCTCAGGTGCCTTCTCCCATCTGGGAAATGGGGTCGATAGCGCCTACCTTGCAGGGTGCCCGGGAGATGAAGTTATAAATAATACAGTGAGGCTCCTGGCCCACAATAAATGGTAGCTGTTGGCATGTTCTCTCTTTCTGTCCCTCCCCCCCCACCAATGTTCCCTCTCCTTCTCTTTCTGCCCCCTTCTCCTGCTGAGGAGTTGAAAACACTCTGCCCATTTCCGCCCCCCACCCCGCCTTTGGTCCACCCCCGTTTTCTTTCTTCTCTCGGTCTCTCTGCTTTAAGTGAATCAGAACACAGAGCCGGTTTGTTCTTTCTTAAATCTATCAAATGCCTTTACATTTCCCTGTTGTTAATTTTCAAAGCCTGGGAATGAAGTGCTTTGTGTCTTGCTTCTGCAGTGAAGTGTTTCTCGGGTAACCCGTGTTCCTCCTGGGGCAGCCCTGCGTGGAGACAGCTCCCAGTCCCGCCACAGCCTTCGAGGCCCCGCTCCTGGGCTGGCCCACCGTCCAACAGGCAGAGGCCACCGGGCCAGAGAGAGGGTGTTCCGGCTCAATTTTTCCCTCCCCCAGTCTTTAAAACTCCATTTATCCCAATTTGCTAAATTTAAACTCTGTTTTTCCAGAGTGGCTCCTTACTTGAGGCCTTGGCCAGCTAAATTAAGGCTCTTGCTCCTCTTTCCCATGGCCTTTTATGAAGCTGCCCAGCATTAATTACCATGTTTGTCACTGGGTAATAAAAATCTCTGAACTCCCTGCCACCAGATTATCTTTGTAAAGAAATGCAACTCATTTACAGTTAATAACCAGAGGCCCTGCATCCCCAGCCTGCTAAGGCAAGTGATTTATAGCACCCGCCAGATGAGCCCATGCACTTTTGCATGGGACAGTCCCTGGTCCAGGTTCAGTGGCTGCTGGCGAGATGCCCGCTTCCCACCCATTTAGGCACAGGTCCCCTGAGGCCAGGTGGGCGTGTAAGGCACTACCCTGTGAGAGCCGGCTGCAGATGGAGATAACGTTTTTGTCCTCTTCCCCCTCACAGACCACGTCTCGGTTGGAGGACTCGGGGACAGTTTTTATGAATATTTGATCAAATCCTGGTTGATGTCGGGCAAGACAGATATGGAGGCTAAAAATATGTACTATGAAGCCTTGGAGGTAAGACAAGCACTGGATTATCCACGGGATGCTGGTCAGTCCCCTGAGTGCTGGGGGGCTGCAGGGCCAGATGGGCCGAGGCTTGCTCCCACCCCCTGAAGTGAAGTGGTGAGAAGATTGACAGGACAGTCCCCTCCCAGCCAGGCGTTTTACACCCCTGTGGACCCTCCCGAATGCTCTAAGATTGAGATTGGTTTAGATGCAAAACCCAAGCTCAGGGAGGTAAAGTCATTTGTCCAAGTTCTCATAGGAAGTGACCCTTAGTCTGACTCAGAAACCACCACCTGCTTGCTGTCTGTGCTTCAGATGATGTATCAGAGGCCAGAGTGCGGCCAGACTATGGGCTTGCACCCCCAAGGGTGGCTGCCAGAGTGAGACCCTTCCTTAGCCGTGTCTTACTTGTGCAACAGAGGTGACATGAAAAGTATGTCCAAGCTGGAAGAGGCCTCCTTCAGTGGACCATCCAGTTTTGCTCCTTCTCTTTATGTGTATGGAAACCAAGGCCCAGAGAGGGGAAGACCCTTGCCCAAAGCCACACAGCACAGAGCTGGCTGAGCTGGCACCACTGCTGGACTGTCCATGGGGTATGGAATGAATGAGGGCTGGAAGGCTGAGGTGAGTCCCTCCAAACAGGAGGGGCCAGGACAGAAGAGGGAATCAGATAGCCTGAGCTGCTGGGAAGAGGGCTAGGCCGGGACAGAAGAGGGAATCAGCTAGCCTGAGCTGCTGGGAAGAGGGCTAGACCAGGACAGAAGAAGGAATCAGCTAGCCTGAGCTGCTGGGATGAGGGCTAGACCGGGACAGAAGAGGGAATCAGCTAGCCTGAGCTGCTGGGAAGAGGGCTAGAGAACCCCACTGCTCAACAGACACCTCGGAGCTCAACTAAGGAAAAGGCACTGAGCGGGCTCTGGGCCTCAGTTGTCCCATAAAGCAAGTTGAGCAAGTTGGATCTACTCTGCCACCACCTGGGTCTACATTACCCCCTTATGTCCTTTAAACTGGCTTCCCCTCTGCTTTGCACTCTGAATGCTCTGTGGGGAACAAAAGCCAGACAGACGGGACACGCACATCCCTCTCCTCTCTGGCTTCCCTTAGCACCTGTAATAAACCCTACTCCTCTCCTTTACCCACCGGGTCTGCCTCCCCTGGGCCCTGCTGATCACCCTGACTTCATGCCTGCCTCTTTGCCCTGTGCTCTCTGGGCTCTGGGCACTAGTCTTCCTGTTCTTCCTCAGATACCCCAGGTGATTCCCACCTCAGGGCCTTTGCACTTGCTGCCCCCTCTGCCTGGAATTTCATTCCAATGGCTGGGTCCCACTCACTAGTCAACTCTCAAGTCAAATGCCACTGAAACTACCATTCCCAGCCTATCACATTCCTAGGCTTATTCTCTTTACCTTCATCAGTCTCTAAAATTATCACAGGCACAGATTTGTTTACTTCTTCATTGTCTATCTTCCCCAAATAGAATGTGAGTTATCTGGGATCAGAGATCTTGTCTGCTCCTAAAACTGCCTGGCACATAGCAGGCACATGGTAACTGTTTTGCAAACAAATGAATGAATGCTGAAAGGATGGATGGAGGGAAGGATGGGTGAGTAGACAGATGAGTGGGTGGACGGGTGGGTGTGGACAGATGGATGGATGTTTAGATGGTCTCTAACTACCCTCTGATCACAGGAATCTGGCCAGGAATGGTGGTGCTTAAAAGACACACATTGACATGGACTGGTAGAGCTCAGGACCCTTTAAACTGTAGGCTCAGCAATGAGTTTTCCCTGCCCAGCTCCCTGGCACAAGACTTCAGTCACGAAGCAGCTTCTGGGACTCCAGTCCCATCTCAGTCTAAGTCTCAGCCTTGTTCACTCCTGGCTTTGGCTGAGCTCAGACCAGAACCCGTCAGAGAATTTGTGTGCAGCTGGTGGCAGCGGTGGCCGGAGCCTGCTGCCCAGAGGCCCTTTATGCCTTCCCTTGCAGAGTAAACATGAAGTTAATGAGCAGCCAGGCTCCTTGCCCTCAGGGCACACTGTAGTTGAGGCTTCAAGGGAAGAAATGGCCATGAATTATTTAAGGAAACTCCGGAGCACTTGATTTTATAGGAGAGAACTTTGAATAGAAGAGGCTTTGCTCTCTGCATTTGATCTCCCTAGTGAAGAGCCTGGAGTGTCTGCGACCCTGGGTGAAAGCTGGGCCTCTGGCAAGTTTGGGGTTTTGAAGAATGTTCTGATGGTTCTCAGCCTTGTTGGCATGTTAAAATCACCTCAGGAGCTGCAAAGTCCTGATGTGCAGACTGCCACCCTGACTCACAACCTCTGGGCCCCAGCCTGGGCCACACATGAACCTTGGGATTTCCACGTGTACCCAGGGCTGGGAACCACGGAGCAAAGACCTTCACCCCTGCCTGCACCTTAGCATCACCTGGGGAGCTTTAAAAATCCCGTGCCTAGCCTCACCCCAGGCCAATTAAATCCCAATACAAGCTTTTTAAAAAGTTTCTTCCACAATTCTGTTGTGCAGCTGGGGTCAGAAACCACCAGGTTAGACCAGTGTCCAGCTGGGGTGGGCATGGGAGGGTCAGAAAGATCAGACTGGGCACACCTCTGAGTATCACCGCAGGAGAAAAACAAGAAGAACAGGGAGAGCTTCAGTCACTTGGGCCTTCCCTGGACCAGTGCACGAAGTACCTCGTTGTCTTTAGTCCCCATCTTACAAATGATGAAACTGAGGGGATAGAAAGGCCCAAGGTCCACACAGCAACAAGTGTCAGAGCCAGGACACAAACACGGGTCTGACTCCAGATCCAGTGGGCTGGCCCTCACCTACTGGTGGCCAAATCACAGAGGGACCTGGCTTGCCTGAAACCCCTCCTACGAGTGCTCAGATGGGGGCTCCTGCAGGCAGCAAGGGAAGGAACAGCCAGCACCAGGTGCTGAGCCAGCCTTCGAATGTCCTCTCCTTTAGTCCTCACAGCCGATCCCGGAATTGTTCTTCCCATTTCGTAGATGAGCAAAGTGACTCTTCAGAAAACTGAAATGTCGCCCAAAGTCATCTAGCTCTTAAATTGCAGAACTGAGATTCAGACCCAGGCCTCTCAGTGCCCACAGGTTACCCCTGCTCCGTAAGGAACAGTACAAACATTTTTGTTAATATATTTAAAAAGTAAGCCCCAGTCTTGTGCCCCACTTAGCTCTTTGCACTGCCTCTTGCTGTGATGTAAACCTTTACCAGTCATCTGCCAGGCTGCGCTGTCTTGTGTTTTGCTCGGAGTTTTAGAAAGCCTTGTTTTTTATCTTTGCATCTGCGTGTCTCAATTGTGCCTTCAAAGAGGCACTGGTTTATAATTTCCTCTTGACTGCAGTTGCTTAGCTTGGGGCCAACCCCAAATGGAAATAACCTGAGGGAGACAGTCTGGCAGCTGCAGGTGCCAGCTCCAGTGCGTGGCATCCTGAGGTCTCCCTCACATGTCTGTGTTCTCTCCCAAAGTGTTGACAACTGATGACTCTGACCCAGGTTTCTGAGCCCTGACACTCTTCCCCTGCGCGGCATGCTTAGCGATGCCAAGCAGCCACCAGGGACTTGGCTCTGCCCGGGAGCCAGGCCGGGCCCAGAGCAGACCACCCCTGTCCCCTGCAGCCCGGCTGCTTTGCAGATGCCCTCAGCACTTCTCCCATGTGGAGCAGGTACCCTGGCATGTCACATCATGAGCACTTCCCCATCTGCCACTCAGTGTGGGTCCTGCAGCCAGCTCACAGCCTTGGGCCCTGACAGGAGAGAAAAAAGGAAGAAACAGACCCAGGAGTGAACGAATGTTTTGTGAGCATCTTCTGTGTGTCCGGCACTGGCTGGAGGCTACTGGTGGTGGCTTCTGATGTCACACGGCACTCAGTCTGGGAGAGAGACAGATATGCAACAGAAACTTACACCAAGTAGGAATGGCACCATGTAGAAAGGTAACAGGTCCATAGGTAACGGGAGTGACGGTCCTGCTTTAAAATTGAGGCATCCTCTCCAAGGAAGTGACATTCTGGAGGAGGTGGAGTTAGCAGAGTCAGGGCTGGAGCACCAGCCAAGCCCCGAAGGAGGAAGAAACATGTAGCCTTCGAGAATGTCACCTTTACAGAGACATTCCCTGACCTCACTCTGAAAAGTAGGGCACTGCCCCTGCCCCCAATTTTTTTTTTTTTTTTTTTTTTGAGACAGAGTCTCACTCTGTTGCCCAGGGTGGAATGCAGTGGTGCAATCTTGGCTCACTGCAACCTCTGCCTCCTAGATTCAAATGATTCTCCCACCTCAGCCTCCCAAGTAGCTGGGACTACAGGTACACACTACCATGCCCAGCTAATTTTTATATATTTAGTAGAGATGGGTTTTTGCCATGTTGCCAGGATGGTTTCAAACTACTAGGCTCAAGTGATCCATCTGCTTCAGCCTTCCGAAGTGTTGGGATTACAGGCGTGAGCTACTGTGTCTAGCGCCCACCCCCTGCCAATTTTTTAATCTCATCCTCTCACTTTGTTTTATTCAAAATGCTGATCACAAATTGTACCTCTCAGCCAGTTGTGGTGGATCACACCTGTAATCCCAGCACTTTGGGAGGCCAAGGCAGGTGGATCATCTGAGGTCAGGAGTTCAAGACCAGCCTGGCCAACACAGTGAAACCCCGTCTCTACTAAAAATACAAAAATTAGCCAGGGATGGTGGCGCATGCCTATAATCCCAGCTACTTGGGAGGCTCAGGTGTGAGAATGGCTTGAACCTGAGAGGCAGAGGTTGCAGTGAACCAAGGTTGTGCCACCACAGTCCAGCCTGGGAGGTAGAGTGAGACTGTGTCTCAAAACAAAACAAATTGCCCCTCTCATATATATGTGGTTCTGTTGG